CTGCAAGGATGACACACATAAGTCGACAAGTGGTCCTAAAAGAAAAAGAAAAGAAAAAAAAAGGAGAAGAGGATGGGCGGTTGAGAACAGACAAAAAAAATGGAAAAAGAGAAACGCAAGGAATCGAATGGCAAAAAAAGGAACAGAATGGATATAGTATTTATAACCTCCCGTTCTATTCGTGTCCTGCTCAGCTTTCCTTTTTTTTAATCTGTTTTAATTTTCCTTTTTTTTTTTCGGTCTGCCAGTATGCGGACTGTTTGAAAAGAAAATTGATCAGAAAGGGGAAAAAAAAGGAAATCCCCCATTGCATAGCTTGTAACTTGGAATTCGAATTTCAGATGCCGTTGGGGAACCGTGAAGCCAATGCTTATTCCACTTAGGAAAGCAAAAGCGAAACAAAAAAAAAAAGGATAAAAAGAAGGAAAAAAACATGGAAAAAAGGAAAAAAAAGAAAAGAAGGAAAATAAGAAGAAAAGAAACCCTGCTTGTTGTCAGGCAATGTGTGAAACAAAGAACTCGAATCTGGGAAAAGGCTACCTTCTGTCCTGAGGCACAGTTCTACTAGCAAAGAAGGATTGGATTAAGCACCTGTGTCTCGGTCAAGGTGGATGTTGTTGCATCATAAAGATTTGGGGCTTCGTGGACTCTTACCACAGTGCGTGGCTATTGACAAGGACAGAAGGGAGAGCCATGTGCAGAGCTCGAGGGGCAAATCTGAAAAAAAGCTGCTCTTATACTGCGTTTTCACCTCACAACACGCGTCCATGAACTTACTGAGGTAACCGTACACACAGATAATCAAACATGATTTTTGACGGCCTGGTAAATAATTCACTTTGCTATTTACTTCTTTGTAACTGGATGCTCTGACAGGGAATTGGCAACATTGAAGCCAACACGGGATGCCAGGCAGAAAGTTCTGGAAGATCCACTTTTGGTATGTACATGGTTTAGGGAATAATTATTAATTTCCTAGGTAAGCCTTCTGCATCGAATTTTCAGAACCACTATTTGTTTGTACAACTGAAAAAAGAGTGAAAATATTATTGATGTCTTTTGGAAATTTTGATTCAGACAACAAGAAGCTTTTCTTTTACTGTTTGCACGCTTTCCATATCCGTTTGCCTAATGAATATGCTTTAGTGCTAGGTTACCAATGGTCCGGGGGCCGGTCGTCTCCCCCGGACGTCTCCCCCATACGTCCGGTACCCCCGTCGTCCAGGGAAAAAAGTTTTTTTTTCGTAAAAAAAAAAAATTAAAAAATTTTGGTTTTCGGGTTTTAACTCATGATTGACTGCGAATTTGAACATGACTCCAAGGCAAAAGTTGCTTGTATTGTTATGTTACATAACATATATATTTTTCAGATTTTTCTGAGAACTTGTTTTTTTTTTTTTTTTTTTTTTTTGCGCTAGGTCGGACAACCCCTGTCCGGTCGGACATCCGACCAGACGTCCGGTCGGACATCCCGGACGGTCAGGGGGGTCCCGGACGTCCGATCCAACAACCTAGCCTTAGTGTCTGTTTTCGAAGGGGGGATTTCTCCTTTTCTTTGCCTTTTATTTTTGCTCTTTGTTCTTTTCATTGCTCCGGGAGGTGCGCGGATGCTGTAACTCGAAGCCCAGATGTGTCTGTCCTTTTGTAAATCTCAACGCTGGATAGGAATTTAAGTTAGGAACTTAGGACAGATTCATTTCATGAGTGGCAGAAGGTTTTGGAAGGCTGGAAACACACTTGCTGTTTTCACCGTCCCCGGACGAGACAAGGGAGGAGGGCACATAAAAACTGACTGAGGGACCTCGGGTATCGGCTAAAAGAATGGCACAACTGTTATGCATTATTAATGTTATTATTATTGTTATTATTATTATTATTATATTTATAAGTATATTATTTTCTTGCTCCGCCTGTTGGTCACTTGTCTGTCACACAGGAGTGGGAGTTGGTATATTCTTTTCTTGCTCAGCCTGTTGTCACTGTCTGTCACACAAGTGCGTCAGGTGCTGAATCAGTCGGTTGGCAACCGATCGACGGTCCAGCTTGCAGGGAAAAGTCCTGCTCCTGCTCCTGGCCTAAAAACGGCCTGCGTGGATCCCTAAAGGACGAAACTGAACCTGGCCCAAAAGGGCCCAGTCGTGAACCTGCCTGAAGGCGGCCCAAATTGTGGCCCAGCTTCGAACAGACCAATAGTCTGTTCGGACATCTGCAAGTCCGAAACGACGTCCTGAAAGCAGACAAAAATTAGGACAGACAAAACGAGTCAGCAATAATAAATAAATAAATAAATGCTGCCTCGAAACGAAACCTGCGGCCTCAAAGATGGCCGTGGGCCTCCAGGTTGTGTACCTGGAATGGCGTGCGGCCTGGGGCCCCCCAGCAACTGTCGGGCCCCCTGTGCAGGCTCAGCATGACACACACACACACACACACACACAACAGAGAGAGAGAGAGAGAGAGAGAGAGAGAGAGAGAGAGAGAGAGAGAGAGAGAGAGAGAGAGAGAGAGAGAGAGAGAGAGAGAGAGAAGAAGAAGAACTGTCAGTATTTGACAACTGCATTGTCTGAAGGATGGCTAGAACTTGAAATAGTGTAATGAGAGTGTATATGTGGCTGAATCTGGATCTTAGACATGGGCAGTGAATCTGCAAAAATGAATGGCGTGGATGTTAGACATGGGCAGTGATGCCTTGGGGACATCCGTTAAAATTGGAATGATACAGAGAAGATTAGAATGGCCCGTGTGCAAGGACGACACACATAAATCGAGAAATGGTCAGGAAAAAAAAAGAGAAGGAAAAAGACACAAGCAGTGAGTATATTGTTAACCTCAGAGAAGTTTTTTACCACTTTTATTCCTCAGGGGCTTGTCCCCCACATGGGCAGGCAGTGGAGTCTGTCCTTGTAAGGGCATGGAAAAACAGTGGTTGTATATTGTATTGTGCTTGTTGACGACATGGAATATCATGTGGGTCGCTCGGTCCTGATTTATTATTATTTTTATTTTTTGATTGCCAATGGGCTAGATTATGTTTGAGCTGATGCAGGCATTTGTCTTCCAGGTGGATGGATCAAATGGAGTTGGAGCAGCCAAATTAATTGATCTGCAGTCCCGTGCGGGTGTCAGCAGCCTGCGATTCGAAGTCAGAAACAAGGGAGAGGAAGGAGATGGACCTCTGAATGATGGGGTTGGTGCCGACTTCGTCCAGAAGGAGAGACTTCCGCCAGCAAAGTTCAGTGAGCAGGATATTGGCAGAAGGTACCCCATGACTCCCCCTTCGATTGCGCTCTCAGTGCATCGAACCCACAGGGTCTTGTGTACTTCATTTGTGGATTGTCTTGTGACTTGAATGCGACTTTGTTTGTGGATTGTCTTGTGACTTGATTGCGACTTTGTTTGTGGATTGTCTTGTGACTTGATTGCGACTTCTTGATTTTCTTTCCCCCTTGACCTACGCACACTCATTTTGCCGCCCGTGAGAACGGCGATCCACCGTGTTTGTCTTGTGTTCATTCTCCCCGCTCCAGCCACTTTGTAGCTGCCCGATTTGCTGTCGTGGGCTTGACATGCTTTGCGTGAATAGCTGCGCGTGTGTCTGCTCTCCCTTCCTTTTGGCATGCCAATAACGACATGCCGTGTGTAAATAGCTGCGCGTGTGTCTTCTCTCCCTCCTTTTGGCATGCCAATAACGACATGCTGTGCGTTGCTTTTGCGTCCAGGAATCCCTGTGATAGAGAGTATGTGTGTGGCACATCCCCAATGTCGCACACCCTCCACACCCTCTTCACCCCTGTCCCACATACAATGGTGTATTCCTCTGGTTGCATCTGTGGCGGAACTTCCTCCATACAACCCCTGGACAATGTGTCGGCTCCTCTCCAGACACTTAACCAATACGACAGGCAGAGAGGAGGAAAACAGGCGTCCTCATGAACTGCCTGCTGTGCTGCATATCGAAAGTTGAAAGGTCAGCAGCCCCGGGGCTGATGTTCAGCTATGGCGGACCAGCTTTTGCAACAGTTGAACATCCTTACTCCGATTCCAACCCCGAAGTGACCTGTATGCAGACAGGCTCAGTTGGTACCGCAAGTACGAGCCCAAGAAACTCTCTGCCCACTGCCCCTCTGCGATGACCCGGCTGGTATTTAGTTAGCATGTGATCAGCATATCCTGTGTTGTGAACATCACGAGGGGTACATGAGCCACACAAGGCTTTGTCTCCGCACATTCGACGGCAGCCTCCTGCGTACGCGTCCATGCTACCCTCTGATAGCATGTCATCTCCGTGTAGCGGGGCTGAACTTGCAGTGCCTATACCGTCTTCCCCCAAACACAACGCATGCTGATGATGACTGTATTGGACGGGTATAATATCTTGTAACATCCATGGGCAGGGTGTGTATTGTTTGGGGGAGGACGACATGTGGAAGCCGTGGTCAGGACTGGATGCAGTGCTCTTATGGGCCTCACCCGAGCCGGTTTTGCCCAGTTTGCGGGTGTCGCCACTCACCCACAGGGAATGCACATTCATTCATTTTGTTCTTCGACCGGAGCTGTCAGTGACAAATGCCTTTCTTCATCCCTGTCTGCGGTGCTAGTGAGTATTCGGGATCTTTTATGCCAAGTTTGTTCCTTTGCCTGCGGAAGCAAGAACTGAATTAGTCATTCAGAAATTTCAGGTGCACTGGGTCTCAGAGTAGGACAGTCAGCAAGATGAAATGAATAATAACAGCAAAGGGGGAGAATTCCTTGTTGAGAGAGGAAAGCATGGGAGAAGAGGCCAACAAAACCCGCGGTCAATCTTGGTCGTAGGGTCAGCTCAGGTTCATCAAGGCCGAGGGAGGGGTCTAGACTTGGAGGTCGCCAGGCTGCTGGAGAGCAGCGCTGGTTTGGAGATGAAGTTAGGTGTAGAGGAGAGGCTGAGCACGGCAGGTGTAGGGTTATTGGATGTCTGCAGATGAGGAGATTGCTACTCGCCTTCTGGCACCACACCTAGAGTTCCCGGTTGGAGCTGGACTCTGACCTGCCACCTGCACAACGTCGGCGGCTCAAGGCGCCATGTTTTGTGGGCCAGTTCTTTCATACACGAACACTGCAATAGGACTAAAGCTGCTTCAATTTTGGATCTACTCATGGGTGGAATAGGGGCTCTTGTGGTGAAAATCCAAAACACACACTGTTAGATATATGAGAGAGAGAGAGAGAGAGAGAGAGAGAGAGAGAGAGAGAGAGAGAGAGAGAGAGAGAGAGAGAGAGAGAGAGAGAGAGCTGAGTTCTTCCTCGGCTTTCTCTTCTTCGTCTTCTCCTCTCCTCCTCCTGTGAGAGAGAGAGACATATGGAGTTCATGGTGGATCTTCAAGATAAAATGGACAGAAGTGAAGAATGTGTCTGGTTAGGTGGGATGTCAACCCATGTTGGTCTCTCGTTGGGTTTATTAAGTTCAGTGTGTAGACTCTAGAGGGCATTTACATTTCTTTTTCATTGGCCCCTCCCCTCCGGCTCCTCCCCTGGCCCTTTCTCCCCTTTCTTTTTATTTGCAGTTCCCTCGTGTGAATACCATGGTGGAAAGTTCTCTCCCAGAAATTGAGGCCCTGTCCGATTATCCAATCTTGTTCTGCCCAATAGCTCTAGCTTCAGGTCTAGCCATTCTGCCACACTTTTCAAACTTGAGAAAATCACAAACGAAGAAAAAAAAACTTTAAAAAGTCCTTCGGGACATCCGTTAAAATTGGAACGATAGAAGATTAGCATGGCCCCTGCGCAATGATGACACACATAAATTGAGAAATGGTCCAAATTAATTAAAAACAAACAAACAAACAAACAAACAAACAAACAAACAAACAGAAAAAAAGAAGAAGAAAAAAGAAACACTGCAAAGAACTGCCGCATCAACATGAGAGCCAAGGCGATCTATGTCTTTGGAAGTCTGACATCCATATGTTGATTGCAGATGTGCAAGTGTCGATGGTGATGCCGACAGACTGGTTTATTTCTATCTAGAAAAGAATCAGAAGAGTGACTCCCCGGGTGGGCAGATGGCAGTTCAGGGGGATTATCTGGGAAGCAGATTGACACTGCATTTACTGGATGGGGACAAAATTGCTGTGCTGGCAGCACTTTTCATCAGCCAGCAACTTGAGGAACTGGGGGCCAAGGATGACGGCAATGGCGGGAAAAGCGTTGTTGGATATGGTACGGTGAGGGTGGGTGTTGTCCAGACAGCTTATGCGAATGGCGCATCGACAAAATACATCAAGGAGGTATTGGGTTTGGAGGTGGCGGTGACTCCTACGGGCGTCAAACATCTGCACGAAAAGGCTGTTGGATTTGATATCGGTATATACTTCGAAGCGAATGGACATGGAATGATTTTGTTCGGTGCATCGTTCTTGGCATGGCTTAATAAGAAACAAGCGAGTGGTGATTGCGGTCGTGAAGGCGATGATGGATTTATAACAGACCGAAAAGCCGAAGTGGCAATTGCCAGGTTGGTTGCTCTAAGCAAGCTGGTCAATCAGGCTGTCGGCGATGCCTTGTCAGGGATACTTTTAGTCGAGAGTATTCTTCAGTATCGTCAATCAGGGTTGCACGAATGGAACACACTTTACAAAGACCTGCCGAGCCGGCAATCAAAGGTAATTGCCTGATCTCTCACCTCAGCCACCATTCTAGGAAAATGTTCCTTGTTCGGACTCTTCATAAAACAGACTGGCTGTATCATTGGAGCAATCCTGCTTTTGCTTTCTATCTATTATCGAATGAGCTATGTACACATATTAGGGGAGACGGTCTGGATTGTGGACGCCAGTGCGTTTGTGTGTG